ACCACCCAATAAGGTAGGTATTGTAACCATCCAATTTTACAAATGAGGGAACTAGGGCCCAGAGAGGTTAATAGCTGGAAAGTGGCAGAACTGAGAATTGAACCAAATCCTTGATGCTTAACTATTACAATCTTCCTCTGAAGATGTTAATAGGTGAATAGATGAAGAGGATAAGGAGAATTGCAAATGAGGGGCTAAAGCTCCAAATCTCACAGCCCCAAACAGCTTATCACATCTGGCTTATATTGGCAGAATATCACAAAAGTATTGATTACATCTTTGGGTCTGGAATGAGGAACCTGTTTCAAGATTTTACAGAAGTGAAACTGAGCAAGTTAGTTATGTAAAGTGTCTACGAATCACTGAATCAATAGAAACGCATTATCTGGGACAGACCACCTGGACAATTTAGAATAATTGTGCTGCCCAGTTTCTGGGATCACTGAGTCAACCGAAACTCAGTTATCTGTAGTTACTGAGACAATTTAGGATAATTGAACTGTCTTGGTTCCCAGAAAAATGTGCTTCCGTAAACCGGTGAGATCACAATCAATGGGATATTCAAACCATCATCAATGGAGTATTGGGATAGCATACATAAGTTCAGAAAAATCAAAATAACTTTCTATTGTTTTAGCAAACAAATAAGTCCAGAATCCAAACTGCAGTTTCTACTACCATACTTCAATTTCTCTTTGCACCCATAGCATCTAACTAGTAGGCACACAGAAAGCAACGAATCAATGTTTGACAAAGGAATGCACTCATCACTAGCAATCTCCTTTACCCTGTGCTTTCTCCAACACTGCTTACTTATTTTTATCTTTTTCATTTGTAAGCTACCCACCTCACCCAAAAGCATTAGCCAGTAAACTAATGCACAGTCATTTCATTTAAAAAAAAAATTAAGAGAACTAAAGAGTAAGGGTCTTCATAGAAAAAGATCAGAGGGAATTTTCTGATACTAATCATTTCCAGGGAAAACAAAAAAGGCCATCTTCTCTGGCGCCCTCTTGTGCTTTGTGGTGGAAAGTAATTGCTTCCAGGAACCGAATCTGGATTTATTTTCTATATGCACTCGCAAGCATTCACACACACACACACACACACACACACACACACACACACAGGCACACACACACCCTCACCGATTAAACTTTTGTTTTTCCTCTCTGCATGTTATTCTCATCAGTACTTGTGTCAGGAATTGTAAAAAGTCTGTCACCTGGGTTTTCCCCAGTCCCACTAGGCTGTAATGAACCTTATCAATTTGAATTTCCTTCCACTTTTGTTCCTAGACACTCACACAACTTATAAAATGCACTTATGTGTCACGTGTGTTATCTGGCAAAACTGCTTCCATCTCTCTCTTTCTCTTTCTCTAACTCCTTACCCCAAGACTCTGAATTCCCTGATATATTAAAGGGCAGGTTCTCTTGGGAAGAAGAAAACATAAGCATTCACTTTTTCTTTATTTAAAAGGGCCCTTGTTCTTCAATGTCTTGCAGAGCTTTCTGCTTGTTCTCGGGAAATGGCCCGTTAGCTTCCCAGGTCTCCCCGTGCACTATCGGGCTCTTGCAGTGGCCACTGGGCAGGAACAGAGGCTTAGGAAGCAAAAGCAAGTGTCAGATCCCATGTTGGCTTGAATCAGGTGTCCCACCCCAGCCATGGACAAACAGGCTCAGGTATTTCAGATTCTTAGATGTAATCTGGAACCTGCACTATGTTTCCATGAAACAGAGTAATTAGTGACAATATTAAAATTATTAGCAGTAGTGGCTGATTTTCATTGCACACTCCACAGGTACTAAAGACATTGCTGAGTGCTTGAGTGCTTTACATGCAGCACTCTGCTTAATTTTTACAAGTTTCCTAAGAAGTCAGTAATGTTATAACCCTTACTTTACAGGTAGGGAAACTGAGATTTAAAGAGGTGACACGCTTTGAGAGACACTACAGCTTTGAGGGAATCTGGTGTAGTTGTTTGAGCCAGAAGACTAGCTCTAGGACTGACTCTACCAGTTTCTATCTGGGTGACTTTTGGTGAGCTGCTTAACCTCTCTGTGCCCCAGTTTCCTCATCAGTAATAACAATAATTCCTGCTTCATAAGGATGTTGCAGGCATTAAACAACTGAATACTTACAAAGTGACTAACGGTACGAAGGATTATATAAGTGCTCTACAAAAAGGAGAAGAGAAGCTCAGGATGCTTCAGGTCACTAGATGGTTTCCCTGATGTGAAGATTATACTTATTCTCCTTATGAATATTATCAGGAAATGGATCTTAATAACATGTCCTGCATTGGTGAATTTCTGCTTTGTGCAGCAGAATCACCTGCAGAGCTTTAAAAACCACTGATCCTGATTCAATAGGACTAGGGCAAGGCCCAGTCACCTATTTTTCTTAAGCTTCAAGAGATGCCCATGGGGAGCCAGAATTGCAAGTCACTGCCATAGTACTTCCATGACTACAAAGTTGGTTTCCATGACAAGATAATGTTTATTTCGTGCGTACTACATACTAGATCCAAGTGTACTCACTTGGATCATCTCATTGAACCCTCCAACAAAAACTCCATGATTTAGGTAATAATTATCAGTCATACTTTACAGATGGGAAAACCAAGGAACAGAAAGTCTAAGGGACTTGTCCAAAGTCACTTACTTAGCTAGTTGGTGAAGGAGTGAGGATTTTAAACCAGGTGGACTGGTGCTACGGCCTGTGTACTTAACTACCAACCTATACGGCCTTCACATGTGGAATTTAATTTGAACTGTGCCGTAGATCTGTGCACTATGCTGGTGTTGCCATTATCCCCAAAGTACAGATGCGGAGACTAAAATGAAAAACTTGACCAAGTGTATAGTAGTCAATGTGGCAGCTGGGGCTTATGCCTGGCTCTTATCATTTGAAGTTCTATGCTTTCCCCATATTGTTGCAGAGAACTTCAAGTAACCAAGTATGATAGTTATTTTATAAGGTTTTTCATATGCATTACCTCTTCCTCTCTCCTGCTTTGGCCCATGCCTTCATCCTATAGGTTACTCTGACAAGAGCTTCAACTAAAAGCCTTCTTCTATTTTTATCTGCTCTCTGCATACTACTTCTAGCTCCAACTCCACCCACTAAATATAGCTCATCAGACAACCCTTGTGTTTAGAATTTGATTAACATTTGTACTATTTGTCATCTGTAGTAGGTTGAATGGTGTCCACTCAAATTCAACCCCCAAAACTTGTGAATGTAACCTTGTGTGGGAAAAGAATTTTTATAGATGTAATTAAGCTGAGGATCTTCAGATTAGATCACACTGAATTATATGGGCAGGCCCTAAATCCAATGACAAGTATCTTTATAAGAGAAAGGAGAAAAGACACAGACAAACAGAAGAGAAGACAATTTGATGACAGAGGAAGAGATTGGAGTCTTGCAGCCACAACCAGGGAATGCCTGGAGCCTGGTAGAAGAGAGAAATAATTCTCTCTTAAGCCTCCAGAGGGAGCAAAGCCCTTCTGGCACCTTGATTTCAGACTTTTGGCCTCCAGACTTGTGAGAGAAGGAGTTTCCGTAGTTGTAAGCCGCTCAGTGTGTGGTAATTTGATATGGCAGCCCTAGGACACTAACACACCATTTCCACATCTGTTCTCGACTTTCAGGACTCATACCGTGTGTGGCTTCCCTGCTCATCCGGCCCTCTGTCTTAAATAAACCCTCTGCCCTACCTAGTGCTCCTTCACTGTCTTTTGCACCGGACCCGCGAGTTCTTTATGTGCCTTCCCTCACGTTGGAAAGAAGACATGGTATCTTAGCAGACTCTCCTCAGCAGGGAACTAACTGTCTTTTGAGATGGCATAATGTGGGAAAGATGAACTCTGAAGGACAAGAAGTTCTGTGGGCAGGGCATTTTGCCCATGAGTTACTTGCCATGTTTTCTCCTTCCTTTTTTTTTTTTTTTTTTTTTTTTTTTTTTTTTTTTAACACCCTTTGCTATGTTGTCTCCATTAAAGAACATGGCTGAGACTTAACAAGTCACACCTCACCCTTGAGCATCATTTGTAAAGTAAGGATGTTTGTCAAGGTGACCCCTTACTCTCCTTCTAGGTCTCATATATAAAATCAAGATTATAGATAAATTCTTTCATGCAAAGGAATTGTTTTGAGCACCCATTAAGTGCTAAACTGTCCCAAGAGCTGGGGTTACAGCAATGAGATAGATGTGGTGTCTTACTTCCCATGGCAGGGCTTTTCCAGGTTGATGATTACTGTGCTCGGATCACCAGGCAGCCCAAAGAGGAGGGGAGAGGAGTGTGTGAATGCTTAGGAATAGTGACACCGGAGAAAGGCAAGGAATACCTTTGTGTTATTCCTCTTTGGTGTGGTTGGGTGGAAAGGTTTACTATATATATATATATATATATATATATATATATATATATATATATATATATATATAAATTGATTTTTTATACAGAGAGGAAGAGAGAGGGATAGAGAGAGTTAGAAACATCGATGAGAGGGAATCATCGATCAGCTGCCTCTTGCACACCCCCTACTGGGGATGTGCCTGCAACCAAGGTACATGCCCTTGACCGGAATCGAACCTGGGACCTTTCAGTCCGCAGGCCAAACTGGTTTCTATCCACTGAGCCAAACTAGTTTCAGCAAGGTTTACATTTTGACATGGTGAATTCGAGATGAAAATGCCCAGTGCCAAACTGAAATGGACCGATTTTAGAAAGGGACCAGAGAAAGTCAAACCTATTGGCTGAGACCTTGGCTATAGGTCAGGTCAGCCCAGGGGGGTGAAGAAGAACGCAGGAGAGAGGGTCCTGGAGGTGTCAGGGCCTCATCCTGTGCCCGCTGTGCAGCGCACATGCTTTCACTTGACCAGCACCCAGAAAGAACTTTGCCTTTTCCCCCAAGTCCCGCCCTTGTAGGCGGGGCGAGGGAGTCAGTCACCACGCAGTCACCAGGAAGGAGAAGCGGGTAGGACATGGGCGTGGCCGCCGCCGACCCCCAGGACGGAGCTGGGAGGGGCGCCCACCGTCAGGGGCGCGGGGCCGCGGAATCCCTGGGAAGGAGGGATGCGCGGATGCAACTGCCGGCGGCGCTGGGCGCGGGGGCCGCGGCCGCGGTGGCGGCGCTGGTGGCCGCTCTGCTCCTGCTGCGATGCCGGGACGCGGGGCCGGGGGCCGGCTCCAGGTAACCCCTCTGCTCTGAGGACCGAGCTGGGCCCCGCACCCTTGACGGAGGAAGGAGAGATCAGAACTTGGGGTAACCAGTGGGAGAGAGGCCTCCTGGTGCAGCAGTTTGTGGGCCCCTCCGAGGCCGGCCCTGCAGGTGACTCAGCACCCTCCCCGGGGCCCAGGCTGCGGAGAATAATAACATCTTCCTCCAGAAGGAACACACATTTCCCAGGGGGGTATGCCAGACTTGTCTCTTAAAACCCCTAAGATCTGCACCTGTCCATGTTATTTCTGTAGCATGGCTGGGGCAGAGGCGCTGCCCAAGCTTCGGGAAGACTTCCGGATGCAGAATAAATCCGTCTTTATTCTGGGCGCCAGCGGGGAGACGGGCAAAGCGCTCCTAAGGGAATTGCTGGAGCAGCGCCTGTTTTCCAGAGTCACGCTCATTGGCCGGAGGAAGCTGACCTTCGAGGAGAAAGCTTATGCAGATGTGGTGGGTATTGGAGACTCAGTGATTCAGCTGTGGGTGGACAGAGTTTTGTGTTTAATGGTTGAACATTGCCTGCCAGTGGTGGGCGCTGCGAGAGGTGATCTAAAGGTGGCCAAGGTCGGCCTTTGAGAGCCTGGTGGCTGGAAGCTGGAGGCCTGGATTGTAGGCCTTCCGTCACTCTGCGGCCTTGGGCAAAGTCCTCTCAGTCTAGGCAGGGCCTCGATTGAAGTGGGAGCTGGGGAGACAGAACAGCATTGCTTTCAGCCGAAATCGGTTTGGCTCAGTGTATAGTGCATCAGCCTGTTGACTGAAGGGTCCCCGGTTCGATTGCGGTCAAGGGCATGTACCTTGGTTGTGGGCACATGCCCAGTAGGGGGTATGCAAGAGGCATCTGATCAATGACTCTCTCTCATCGATGTTTCTAACTCTCTATCTCTCTCCCTTTCCCTCTGTAAAAAATCAATAAAATATATATTAAAAAAAAAAAAAAGAACAGCATAGCTTTCAGCATCATTCAATCTGAGTTCTCGAGACAGTCCACTTTGCTTGTTTGTCTCCCTGTTCACTCTACACCAATCTTGTCAATAGATCAGAAAATGCTGTGCACAGCAGAAACCATCTCTGGCATTGAAAGTTGGGTTCACATATAAGAATTTGCCCAGCCTGACTTCCCAGGGCTGCAAGTGTTGTGTCTGTAAGTGAAATATTCCTTCCCCTGACTATCACTTACACTTTCGTGGCTAAACAAACAATACACCAGACTTCAAGGTGGTGCAAACACCCTAACTATTTGAAGTCTGAGCTTCGTGGAGAGTCCTGAGTTATTTGTGAAACCCAGTCAATTATAATATAATCCTGAGCCCCCCTAATTATAGAACTTGGTCCCACAGTTTTTACAGGTGGAACCTTCCAGATAACAAATGGTCTCACAAATAAACATTCTTGACTCCTGCAAGTCCAAGGTCAGGTCATTTTGGATATGCCTTTGGTCCATCAGGACTTTTCTGTTTAAAATGGACATCTTTGTAGGCAGTAACATGCAGCCTTCCTAGTCTGGCTTCATGGGGTGTGTCCGATACTTCTGATAATTAGAAACTGAAATCGAGCTCTGTGCTTTGAAAGTCTAGTTTTGGTGGCACATGTTTTTTTGTTTTGTTGTTTTTAATATATATTTTATTGATTTTTGTACAGAGAGGAAGTGAGAGAGATAGAGAGTTAGAAACATCAATGAGAGAGAGTCATCGATCAGCTGCCTCTTGCACACCCCCTACTGGGGATATGCCCGCAACCAAGGTACATGCCCTTGACCAGAATCGAACCCGGGGCCCTTCAGTCCCCAAGCCAACGCTCTATCCATTGAGCCAAACCGGTCCTGGCTGGCACATGTTTTTTAAAAATATATATTTTATTGATTTTTTTCACAGAGGAAGAGAGAGGGATAGAGTTAGAAACATCCATCAGCTGCCTCTTGTACACCCCTTACTGGCCTTGACTGGAAACGAACCTGGGATCTTCCAGTCTGCAGGCTGAAGCTCTATCCACTGAGCCAAACCAGTTTCGACTGGTGGCACATCTTTTGGTCAGGCACTTAATGCAAACATTTTCCTTTAGCATTGCTTACAGTGCTGGGAAAATTCTTTTGAAAGAGGTGATGGTAAGGAAGGAAAGCAGCATTTTACTTGAGTTCCGAGGTGATGGATGGGAACTTCTCAAACTTTCTTTTTTAAATTTCACAACAAACTTAGGTTAAATGATGGTGCTTAAGTTTTAGTAAACATGAGAATTTTTAAGGGTGCTAATTAAAACAGTGCAGTTTCTGACTCAGAAGTATTGGAGTGAGACCTAAGAATATGCCCTTTTATCCAGCACCCACTGCAGGTAGTTCGTGGATTGGGCTGAAGGAAAAATTATAATTTACATTTTATTCCTGAAAAACGGGCATATGATGAAAATAAATTGGCCAAAATCACATGTTTAGAAAGTAACAGGCCCAAGACACCAATGTAGGTATTTGAGGTTCCAAATGCCATCGTTAACCCACATTCTACCGCATTGCATTGGTATTCCTCCTGGTAATATGCAGACAGGTGCTTTATTTTTCCAGAGAGAAAATTATAATTGAACCTGACTTTGGTGATCTGGATCACCCCTAGTCCAATTATGTGTGCCAGGGCTGTGTTAGTGCCTTGCTGATTTGAAATTCAGATTAATTGAGTTTTGGTGGGAGAAAATGAGCTTGCGAGATTTGATGTTAAGTGGTCAGACTCTTCACTAATGCTCTGTAATTTATTCTTTAAATGTAGAGGGCTGTTTTAAAGAATAACATCAAGTTCTATTCAGCTGTGTCCTTGTTGTCTAGAATCAAGAAGTGGTGGACTTTGAAAAGCTGGACGACTATGCTTCTGCCTTCCAAGGTCATGATGTTGGATTCTGTTGCCTGGGTACCACCAGAAAAAAAGCTGGGGCGGTAAGGAATATATCCTTATCCCTTTTCATTAGCCAGTGCTGTCAGATTCCTTTCTTACTTACTCTTTTTTTTTTTTTTTTTTTTTTTTACCTTTGCAGTCCTTAATTGTAAATAAACTCTTATCATTGAAAATTTCACCTGCTGCCCTAGCCTTTGCTGTACTTTGAATAGCAGTGATAAGTTCATCTTTCCTTCCAAATAATCCTTAAGTTCAGGCCTGTGTGCATATTTATATTGTCTGGCAAATATTGCTGGCCAAACCAGTTATATCAGAATAAAAGTAACTAGCTCATGCTATTAGCAATAAGCTTTTAAAAATTTGTTTCCTTTATAAATATTTTAAACTTAAAGCATTCTCTCTCACTTGAGTGATTTTCTTCAACCTAATTTTGTGCCAAGCTTTAAACTCCTGGGAGAGAACATCAGGACAGAGGCACGACTCAGCTAGCCTCCAGTGATGACTCAGCCTCCAGCAATGATTCAACCCTCGTGGTGATTCGGCCTTCACTGACGCAGAACTGTTCCAGCACATTTTATTTTATTTTTAATGGTGCTCTAAATTGCATTGCCCTTATCTAGAAGTCATAGTTTACTACATAGTTAGAAGTCATAGCTTACTGCATAGATCTTGGGCAAGTGTTAATACTTCTTACTTAACTTATACTTTGTCCCTCTAGCAGAATTTACCTGCTGGAGCTAAACATGTCCATTAAATATGCGTGACCTCAGTGCTGCCATGGGGGCTTATTGTGGGTTTATAAACAGGTCCATGCATCAGAATCATTAGGAGAACACATGTTTAAGAACTATTGGTAGTAGCACAATTTACCACAGCTAAGATTTGGAAACAGCTTAAGTGCCCATCAGCAGATGAGTGGATTAAAAAAACAACAACTATGGTACCTCTACACAGTGGAATACTACGCTGTGGTAAAAAAAAAAAAAATTAAAAAAAAAGGAATTCTTATCATTGCCAACAGCATGGATAGACCTGGAGAGCATTATGCTAAGTGAAATAAGCCAGCCAGGGAAAGATAAATATCACATGATCTCACTCATTTGTGGAATATAATGAACAACATAAACTGATGAGCAAAAACAGATCCAGAGACAGAGAAGCATCAATCAGACCATCAAACCTCAGAGGGAAAGTAGGGGAGAGCAGGGGTAAAGGGAAGAGGTCAACCAAAGGATTTGTATGTATGCATATAAGCCTAACCAATGGACACCAGGGGGGTGAGGGCATGATTTGGGGTAGAGGGGATAATGGCGGGATAAGGACACGTATGCAATGCCTTAATCAATAAAGAAAAAAATAAAAATATAAAAATGAACTATTGGTGTATATCAACCAAGTTGTTAGGCGCAGTTGTATTTCTCTGGGCCTCCTGGCAATCTAAAGAATAATTCCATGTATGCAGTAGGGATCTGTTTCCAAATCTTCTGCAGTTATACCATGTCCACTTTGGAAGACAGCTGGGTTCTGAGCTCTGTGCTGAGAGGTGTCCCAGGATTTGGCACATTCTCTCTCCTGGGAAAGGTCATGCTCCTGCTCGGTGGCTAGTGCAGTCTTCATTGTCCCAGAGACAGCCACAAAGCGGTGTGTCCTCTAAAAGCACTCAAAAAGTTTTGTTCTGTCTGAAGCGCCAACCTGATTTTGGTGGCGACTCAGCAAAAATAACAAGAAAACAAAACACTGCATTAGGCATAGAGCAGTTGATTTTCATGACATAAGGCAAATCTCATAGAGAAAGAAGAAATTGCTTTATTGCATCCAAATTGTGTAATGCAATTTTAATCAGAGGCATTGGTATCTTTCCTATTGAGAACGTTTTTTAGATGGATTTGGTTCCCTACTTCTCAGGGTACTCAATATCTTTTCTTTTCCAAAATCAGTTTGAAAAGAAAAAAAAACAAACATAATGAGTAAGTAAGCAGGAGAAAGACTAGTAAGGCAAAGGTAGTCTCAGAAATGAGTTAGGGCTAAATGGTTTAAGGCAATGGTGACCAAAAGTAAGCTGACAATTTCTGATGCAAGGGCTTGTAAACTACATACTAGGGGCCAAATACAGCCTTTGCTTTATATAGCCCCTGATCTGAGAATGTTTTTATATTTTTAAATGATTTTTTTAAAAGAGGAATAATATGTCCTGACACTTAAAAATATAAGAAATTCACATTTCAGTATCTATAAAGTTTTATTGGAACATAGTTATTCTATTTACTTTTTTAAAAAAATTTACTTTATTATATATGGCTGATTTTGTGCCATGACATCAGAGCCATACAATTGCAACAGAAGACTGCAAATCTGAAAATGCCATCCCATCCTTTACAGGAAAAGGTTGCCCACCCCCATTGTAATTTCTACTGTTTAATTTGATGTCTAGGGGGGGCGGGCATGTGTGAAGTGACAAGGTCCTAGGTGCTTTGAGGGACTCAGATCATAAGCTCTGGATACTAGGTAGCTGTGGGACCTCTGGTGTGTGCTTAGCTTCTGTGGACCACTGCCTCCTTGTCTGTACTGAGAGGCAGGTGACCACTACAGCCCGTTTGGCCTGCAGAATTCTTTGACTTTTCTAACACAGAGAAAAGAAATTGCCAACTGGGAAAATTCTGTGCGAGTATAGAGATTTACTCATGAATCTTCCTGTTTGACTTTTTCTACCCAGAGCTCTTCCTCTAACCACGATCATGCTTCCACCACTGCACAGCGAATACAGAGGTGCCCTCCAGGATACAAACAATTGGGGTGTCAGATGATAGCATTTGTTGTTCATCAGCATCTCTGTAGTCTAGTCTGATTTATAGGGTTGGAGTAAAGGGGAAAGAATCTGAAGCAAAAATATGGCTCAGTGGGACCCTGTACAGAATGATAGATCTGCCCTTCTTGGAAAAGGATCCCCGTGACCTTGAGTCATTTTGGCATGCTTGCTGGTTTCATCAGTCACTGCTGAAATACTCCATTAGGGTGAGTTGTTCTTAAGCCAGTGTTTCCAGTTTTCAGCCGTTGGTAAAGAAGATTAGAAGAAATACTTAGTAGCTTTGGATTTTAATAAGATTTGAATAAAGAATAATTGGAGAGTTTTTCTCTCTAGATGTTTGTGGAACCTATGAAGATACCTCTGTCGAGTCGTTTTACATTGTGTTTATTCTTTCAAGTAGGTACTGGGAAAGAAAATGCGTTCCGTATTTCATCAATTCCTTTTTCCAGAAGGAACTCTGATTTCTAGCTTAGAGTGGTCTACACTGACTTTGGAATCATAAAGACACATTAGCATAATGAACTTTATGCTCTCAGAAGAGACGTTTTTTTCTCCTGCCCTATGGTTAGGGAAACTAAATACAGTTTTTCCGGAAAATTGTGTTTCTGAGATATGGAGTAGCTTCTTTTAGTTTTTTTTTTTTTTTTATTTTTTTTTTTTTTTTTTTTTTCTTTTTTTTTTTTTTTCGCCATTAGAGAATAAGAAAGGTGTTAATAAGATTTTAAAGATGGCTGCTTTCTATCTATCCATGGAATCTTCCTTCAAAGAAATTGATGTGTCGGTGTCTCTGAGTCAGTCGGTAGGACCCACGTTCACGTTTGGTTTCTAAGTCCTTGAAAGCCATGGACCCCATTGCTTTTGAATTTCACTCACCAGCTAAAAAGGCAGACATCAGGGCGGGGGAAGTGAGATTCAAAATTTGTGGGCCTGGAAAAAAATGCGTATTTATAATCCGCTTGAGGGCTCAGAGGATTTGTGAAATCGGTTTGGATTAACAGCCATTGATAGCTCATAAAACAATATTTAGCTTTGTCTGGAGAACAGCGGTGGAGAAAGGTATGGGCACCTTGTCAAGCGGGCCCATTGAGCAGGGATGATGGGTTAAGCGTGGGGGTCTCCGAAGCAGCGTGGGTGCTCCTCCTTCCAGGCGCGGTTGTCAGTTGTTCGCGAGGCGGGTGAAAGGAGGGACGCCAGCGTCTGACGGCTGGGGTGGTATTGATGTGCCTTCGCTGACTAATCAGATTGTAAAAGTCCCATGGTATTTATGTCACTTTAATTTTCACCAAACAATTGGAGCCGACAGCACTCTATTAAGGAGAGGTTGATCCAGAACTAAAGCCAAATAAATTAGGGTCTCAACTTAATCAAATTATCCCTTTACTGGCTGTGGATTAAGTGAGGGAGACAGTGTCGGTCTAGAGACTGGTGATTGGCTGAATCTTCCCCTTCTTTTTAAAGAAGCCGATGAAAGAAAAGCATTTTAACAGGGACAACTAGAATGAACCTTCCAAGAAACAGTGCTAAAACCACAGCTACCACAAAAATAAATTTATTTCTCTAGTCAACTATGTCCCTTTACTATGAATAAGTAACCTGTTATTAAAATCAGAGTTCTGGAGAATTACAGTGAGGGGAAGAAATAGACCTAGGAGAGAAAGTGAGTGTTTTGGAATTTTTCTATGTAGTTTTGGATTGTTTTTCTTGGCACACTATCAGCACATGTAAAATCTCATTTCGGAGGATGGCTCGGAGGAGAATCACATCCCTCTCTCAGGATGTGCTGAGCATTAAAATTAGATTTAAGAAAGCAATAACCTAAGTTCAAATCAGTATGTAGAGCAGGTTGTCAAGTCAGGGTAGAATGTCCAAGTATAGATACAAAAAGATATTCATTAGTTAAGACCTGAGTTTATATTTCCCAAAGTAAGGCAGACACATGAGGCTGTTATGCTATGAACATGAGATAGGAGGATAAGAGAGGCTTTTAGGATAATAGTAACGCTCTATTTCTTAAAAAATAAAAATAAATAAAAATAAATATATAGATAGATATAGATATTTATCTCTCCCTCTCTCTCTCTCTCTAAAAATCAATAATATATATATATTATTGATTATATATATATCTCTCTAAAAATCAATAATATTTATATATTATTGATTTTTATATATATAATTGATTTTTAGAGAGAGGAGAGAAGAGGGAGAGAGAGAGATAGGAACACTGATGAGAGAGAAATATCCCATCAACATTAATTGGCTGCCTTCTGCACGTTCCAGCCCACAGCCCAAGCATGTGCCCTGACCAGGAATCGAAGTAGAGAGAGACCTCTTGGTGCATGGCATATGTTCAACTGCTGAGCCACACCAGCCGGACTCTATTTCTTGATTTTAGAAGCTGGTTGCAGAGTAATGTTCAGTTTGTGAAAATTCATCAAGCTCTATACGTACAATATGCTTACTTTTCTTTTATGGTTTACTTCAGTACAAAGTTAAAAATGTATGTTTGGGGCTATTATTTTCAAATTGAATTCTGTATTAGTTTCCTTCCCCCTTTTTTCAGTTTTTTTGTTTTTTTATTTCAAGAAAAACAATTTTAAATGTGCACTCCGCTCTCAGCTGCCTCTACCATGTTAGAGTTGACATAGAATAGAGAAAACAGAGAGGGCTGTAAAGGTGTAAAATTACACCAAGACAAAGAACTGTGTGACTAAAAGCAGTCTTGCAACTTGATATTATCGTTACTTTTGTTCCTTGCTGATTTGTTTGGTGTCTGGGTTTCAATACCATTTTGTTTTTTAATTTTTATTTAATTTTTTGAAACGAGAAAAACGACAGTTCACCCATAAGCTTTGGTTTTCATTGCCGTCTGGCTTTGCTGCTAAAGCTGGTATCTATCCTGAGGATCGCACTTGGAGCCTTTCCCAAGGTGTAAGAACAACATTCATGTATTGCTTGGATGCATTTTATTTAGATTTTATCACCCCTCTTCCCCCATCAGACCTCCTAGGCTGCCACCCAGGCTGAGTAGTAACCTTTAAGATGAACTCACAACTTTTTGAAAATAACTTATTTCTCTTCCTTCTCAGGAGGGATTTGTTCGTGTTGATCGAGATTATGTCCTGAAATCTGCAGAGCTGGCAAAAGCTGGAGGGTGCAAACATTTCAACCTGCTGTCCTCCAAAGGAGCTGACAAGTCGAGCAGTTTTTTGTATCTGCAAGTTAAGGTTTGTGTATGTTTCTCTCATAGATACTTTGGAGAACCCTGGGTAATTGGCAGTACTAAATAATATAGGATGCTAAATATTACAAAAATTCCCTAATTGCATTAGATTACACACTTTTATAGCTACAGGGACTGTTTGCAGGGATACAGTTAGTAAACAGAGTGATTGGAAAGATAATTGCCCCCTGTTGAGGACCCAGTAATCATGAAATGAGATAGGGCAGCTCTGATCTTGAATTATCAGCATGGAATCGCAACATTTGAGGCAGTGGTTCTTAAAAATTTCCAAAGTAGCTGAGACCGGTTTGGCTCAATGGATAGAGCGTCGGCTTGGGGACTGAAGGGTCCCAGGTTCAATTCCGGTCAAGGGCATGTACGTACCTTGGTTGCGGGCATATCCCCAGTAGGGGGTGTGCAAGAGGCAGCTGATTGATGACTCTCTCTCATCGATGTTTCTAACTCTCTATCTCTCTTCCTTCCTCTCTGTACAAAATCAATAAAATAAAAAATAAAAATAAAAAAATGCCACTGGGATGCATAATTTAAAAATAAATAAATAAATAAATAAAAATAAAAATTTCCAAAGTAGATGATATTTTATTGTGTATGTTTTTTGTCCTCAAGGAATTTATAATATGCTTGTTTTTTTTTTTTTGTGTGTGTGTGTGTGTTGTTTTAAGAAATTTATTCTCTCTTCTTAAAGGAAATCTTTTTGTTTATTTATTTTTAATATATTTTATTGATTTTTCACAGAGAGGAAGAGAGAGGGATAGAGAGTTAGAAACATCAATGAGAGAGTCATCGATCAGCTGCCTCTTGCACACCCCTACTGGGGATGTGCCACAACCAAGGTACATGCCCTTGACGGGAATCAAACCTGGGACCTTTCGGTCTGCAGACCAATGCTCTGAGCCAAACAGGTTTCGGCTATAATATGCTTGTTTTGTTAGGATCCTTAAGTTTGGTAATTCGCTAGAAGGTCTCACAGGGCTCAGAATACAGTCATATGCTCAGCTATGACTTTTTACAATGAAAGGCTATAAAGCAAAGTCATTAAAGGGAAGAAATTCATGGAGTGAAGTCTGGAGGAAACTAGGTATAAGTTTCTAAAAGTTCTCTCCCAGTGGAGTTACATGTGCTTAATTTCCCCAGCAGTGAGTATTTTCTACCAGAAAGATTCACCTGAGCTCAGGAGTCCAGGGTTTTCATTGGGTCCGTCCCGTAGGCACCCTCAGCTTAGAAACAATTACAGACTTCCAGAAGGAAAGCAAGAGTTATTCACAAAACACATTGTTTGTTTAAATGGTGCAGGCACAGTGAACTACCCATATCAATTAGGTAATGAGGGGAGCATTCCTGAAATCCAAGTTCTCAAGCCAAAGGCCAACCTTGCAAGCAAGCTTTTCTGAGATAGCAGTCTCAGCCTGCCGGGTTAACTCTTAAGCACCCTGCTAACAGAGACAAATTATGTCTTTGTAAAAAGCTAACTGAGAAACGTGTCCATATAAAAACTTCTATCTGAATGTTCATAGAAGTGTTATTCCTAAGAGCCAGAGTGAAAGCAACCCAATTACCCATCATCTGATAACTGGATGAATAAAATGTGGTATATGCATACAAAGTGTATTTCATGGGAATGATACATGCTACAGCATGGGTGAAACGTGAAAACATTATGCTGTACGAGGAAGGGCAGTTACAAAAGGACACAACTTGTATGATTTCATTTATAGGAAATGTCCAGAGTAGGCAAATCTATAGAGGCAGGAAGATTAGTGGTTGGCTAAGCTCAGAGGAAAGGGTGGGACTGAGTGCTATTTGGTACGGGGTTTCTTTTTGGGGTAATAAAATATTCTAAGATTGCAGATGAAAGGGGCAAAACTTGCTGAATATACTAGAAAACATTAGTTAGTTAGTCCTCATCTGAAGATATTTTTCCATTGATGTGAGAGAGACCCATTGATTGGTTGCCTCTAGCATGCATCCTGACCAGGACTGGGGATCAAGCCTGCAACCAAGGTACATGCCCTTGTCCAGAATTGAACCCAGGACCCTTCAGTCCACGGGCTGACTCTATATGGACCTAGCCAAACCATTTATGGCATAGAAATCATACATATATTTTTAAAAGCTACCTAAGATTGTCCTGGTTTGTTGCCAGTTTGATTCCCAGTCAGGACACATGCCTGGGTTTTGGGTCAATCCCTGTTCAGGGTGCATGTGGGAGGCAACTAATTGGTGTTTCTCACATCCATGTTTATCTCACTCTCCCTTCCTCTCTCTCCAAAATAAATAAAACTGTATTTTTTTATTAGAAAATATTTAAGCATAAGACCACCAAAGATGAAACATTTTTAAAAAAAGGTTACCTAAGATTATAGGATGTGACAAAGATTATAGGCTAAGTGCCAAATGAATGGTATGAACAGGCCAGGAAGGGGAGGAGAGCATGCTGCTTCATTGATCAGTCCTTCACATGTATCGATACCTGTTACTGAGCTCCTCTGGCATTTCTGTTTTTGGAGATGCCTGGCATGAAAATTAATGGTTTGTTTAACAAATCTTATTTAAAGCATTATCTAGATGTAATCGATCTCTTGGTGGGGTTTGTTAGGAAATGAATAATATAGAGGGTCTATGGAACTGCTGACCCACTGGAATTACCTGGAAACCGGAAAAGGTTAATGTCTGCAAGTCTATACCATTAATTCTGGACGAATGGGCGGTTACTCTTTATGGTTGAACTTCTAACATGTCACAGATTCTCTCTAGATCTGTTAGTATCAGTCAAATGAGAAGCTAGGTGACTATGCAGACGTTCACTCATTCAGTGCATTTTCTTTTTTAACTCTACTGCGTGTCAAGATTAAATGATCTCTTCCTTAACTTCCCAGACTCTGGAAAGTTAAGGATAAATCTGAATAAGAGTACTTAAAAGTATAGTGGACCCTTGAACAAGGTGGGACTTAGGGGTACTGACCTCACATGCAGTAAAAAATCCACGTATAACTACAGTTGGCCCCTCGCATATGTGGATGTCCTTGAAGCCTTGGAGTGACTCTTGAAAAAATGTGAGTTTGAACTGTGTGAGTCTATTGAGGAAAACCACCCACGCAGTTTAATCTCATATTGCTCAAGGGTCAGTTCTACTGAGACCCACAGAAGCAGATTATCTTCAAAATCCAGTTATTCTCTCTTGAACATTATAGTACGTTGGTTTTGATTAAATACTAAAAATGTGGTGTGTGTTTTTGTTTGTTTGTTTGTTTGTTTGTTTGTTTTTAAACAGGGAGAAGTGGAAGATAGGGTGGAAGAATTAAAATTTGATCGCTACTCCATATTTAGGCCTGGGTGAGTATTCATGCTACCTAAGAACACACCACTGTTGGTTATTCCCTAGAAGGGAGTTTTCATTTGAAGAGACTGACAAATAAGATATCTAGGGCATGAAAGAAGTTGTCCAGAGTTGGATTATTTCTGAAAAGCCCACCTTTTGGCTTTGAAAGAAGGGAGGGGGGGGGGGGAAGGGGGGGAAGGGGCAGGTGGTTGTGCCAGGTTCAGAATAGGGTGGAATTTCCTGGGTGGCTTTTGCTGCCTTCTTTTTTAAAATCCTTTCCTTACACCAAATTAGACCTTTTAGCCACTGTGTTAGTCTGCTCAGGCTGCCATAACAGAGTAACTCCATAGACTGGGTGGCTTAAACAATAGAAGTTCATTTTCTTGCAATTCCCAAGACTAGAAGTCCAAGACTGAGGTGCCATCAGGGTTAGTGTCTGGCGAGGTCTCTCTTCCTGGCTTGTAGATAGTTTCCTGTGTGCCCTCACATGATCTTTCCTCTGTGTGGGCATGGGGGAGAGAGAGAGGGAGAGGGAGAGGGAGAGGAAGAGGAAGAAAGAGAGGGAGAGAGAGAGGGGGAGGGGGAGGAAGAGGGGGAGAGAAAGTCTCTGATATCTCTTCCCCTTCTGTAAGGACACTAGTCCTATCAGATTAGGGTTCCACCTTTATGACCTAAAGTAACCTAAATTACCTTCCTAAAGGCACTGTCTTCATATGCAATCACATGTGTGGGTTGGGGCTTCAACATGAATTTAGGGGAGACACAGCTTAGACCACTGGTTCTCAACCTTTTTAATGCAGCAACCCTTTCATACAGCTCCTCATATCGTGGTGACCCCCAACCATAAAATTATTGTCGTTGCTACTTTATAACTGTTTTCCGATGGTCTTAGACTCTACAGCAGTGGTTCTCAACCTGTGGATTGTGACTAAGACCATCAGAAAACACAGATATTTACATTGATTCATAACAGTAGCAAAATTACCACTGGCTTAGTCTATCACATTCTCTGGTCTGAATGTAGTTTACCATCCTTTCCTCTGCTTTTTTTTCTCTTTAGATTTCTGTTATGTGATAGGCAAGAATCTCGCCCAGGTGAATGGGTGATTAGGAAATTCTTTGGCTCCTTACCAGAATCTTGGGCCAGTGGGCATTCTGTACCAGTGGTGACCGTGGTTAGAGCAATGCTGAACAACTTAGTGAGACCAAGTGACAAGAAGAAGGAGCTGCTGGACAACAAGGCCATCCATGACCTGGGGAAAGCCGATGGCCCTCTGAAGCCATGATCACACCTGAGAAGTGCTTTTTTGGTCAAACTCAGCACTCATCATCTAATCGTTAATTTAAAGGTCTAAAAAAAAGCATGCTTTAATTGGGGTTTCACTATTTTCCGCCACCTGGGCCCAATTAAAAAATAACTGTGCTCTGCCACAGCAATTATTGACCGTTGTACAACATGAGTTTGAACTGAGCAGTTCCATTTATATATGGATTTATTTTCAATAAATACTATAAATGTATTTTCTATTCCTTATGTTTTATTGACATTTTCTTTTCTTTAGCTTATTGTTATTATTATTATTATTATTGGTGGGGAGATCAAGTTCTAGCTCATTTTATTGTAAGAATACAGTATATAATGCATACAACATACAACATGTGTGTTATTTTACTGTGTATGTTGTTGGGGAGACTTCTGGTCAGCAGTCCGCTATTAGTACAGTTGGCCCTCTGCATCTCCAGATTCCCAACTTTAGATTGAAAATATTGTTTTAAATCCACAGTTGCTTAAATCTGTGGGTGTCAAACCTGTGGCTCTGAAGAGCAGGGCGTAGTTAGATTTGGGGGGGGTGTCAAAAGTTATATGTGGATTTTCAACTGTACGGGGGTGGTACCCCTAACATACCTGTGGTTCAAAGGTCAACTGTACCGCACCCAGGGAGCTTTCAAACATGGAGCTTCCTAGGCCCTGTCTCTGCCTCAGACCTTCTGAAGCCAATATTGTGGGGGTATGGGCACAGGAATCTGTGGTTTTGTGTAAGTGTCCTCTGGTGAACCTGATGCCACTGGTGCGGAGGCCAGCTCTGAAGTGCTTGTCTGCAGAGTGATGGCAGCAGTGCAGACCTTGCGTAGCATTACAGATGAGTTCTGTTCTGAAATTGTTGACATTCGGGTCTTCAAGGTACTCAGTGCTGACTGCATATAATTGTGTAAGTGAACATTGTGCCTATTTCTTTAGGATATATAATAAAATGTATTATACAACCGAGCTTTTATAATTCCTGATTAAATAGAGGAATAAAAATAAATGGACAAATCCTGGGTGCTTGCTAAGCGTCAGCCTTTACACATGCTATCTGTCCTTGAACCCTCCAAAAAACTCTTGTAATGGTTTACAAGCAGTGCTTGCTGTTAGTGAACACAGGTTCACTGCCCACAGCACACCGGAGCCAAACTATGGCACAGGCTTTTCTTTGAGAAAAGAAAGGAGCTTTATTTGAAAGTCATTGGCGAGAAGACAGGAGGCAAGGCTCAAATCTGTCTCATCCAGGGCTCTGGGTGGGGTTTTAAGAAATAGTAGTTAAGGCCGAAACTGGTTTGTCTCAGTGGATAGAGCATTGGCCTGCGGACTGAAGGGTCCCAGGTTCAGTTCCGGTCAAGGGCATGTACCTTGGTTGCGGCCACATCCCCAGTAGGGGGTGTGCAAGAGGCAGATAATTGATGATTCTCTCTCATGGATGTTTCTAACTCTCTATCCCTCTCTCTTCCTCTCTATAAAAAAATCAATAAAATATATATTTTTAAAAAGTAGCAGGTAAGGGTTCACAAGTGTTGCTGGTGAATGGTGTTTCCCAAGTATTACTCGTAAGTGGTGTATTCAAGGTCTAAACGTTGGTTCTGGGCCTTGTAAGAAACAGGATAGGACCAGGCTCTGCAGTTACATGGTCATCCTCATATCCTAGATTAGGGGTGTCGAACTCAATCAGAGAAGGGGCCAAAATCTAAAATCCGGCCTAAATCGCGGGCCGAATGGTTTACTGAACAGTCATAAACTGTCATTGTGATGGAAACGCAGCGGAGTGCAGTGATGACAGCGCGGTTCGGGCCACATTGCAAGGCCTGGCGGGACGGATTTGGCCCGCGGGCCTTGTGTTTGACACCTGTGTCCTAGATGGAGGAAACTGAAACTCGCTGCCATTAAGTGCCTTGCCTGAGGGGCCAAAGCTGAAGACCGGAAGCTAGGAAATGGCAGAGCCAGCATTCTAACCCAAGTCAGCCTGATCCCATGACGTGTATTTTTAACCGCTCTGCAAGAGCATCCACTCTTTGTGTAATTCCAGAAAAACGCAGTGAATTTTTGCTGCATCAGTACGTGCTGTGTGTGAATAAAAACATTTGGGTTTCTCCCTGTAACCATTATCCACAAAATGTTCACATAGCAGTGAAAGTACTTCTCATAGTGCTGCAACTTAAAAACGACGGAAAAGGAAGGGAAAAGGCAGAAGGGTCAAAGTGAAGAGGAGCACACAGTGATAATTCCATTATGGATTAAAGGCTGATGGTGAAATGTGGCTTAACATTTGTCCGGGGGGGAAGCAAAATGATTTGAGTGATTCAGTCGATTTTCACAGGGTCTGTCAAGTGCATTTCAAGTTTCTGTGGGCACTGGAATAATCAACCAACGAGTGAATAAATAAGTGGAAAAAGTTGATGTTTCTCCCTCTCAAATCAATAAAAACTTTTTAAAAATAAAAATAAGTAAATACATCTGACACTATTACTCCCTTGCTTAACCAAACAGGTCAACTGCTTACAGTTACTGAGGATAAAGTTATCATTTATGTCTAAACACCTTACATATATCAACTCATTTTTATCCTTATAATAACCCTGTGGTTAGTGCATTATCTCCATTTTGTAGTTGAGGAAATGGAGGTAAGGAGATGTCAAAAATCATAGAGTCTACAAAAGAAATAGCCAAACCTGTAGAGAATTTTAATAAGTTTATTTGAGCCAAACTGATGACATAATGCTGGGGAACAAGATCTCAAGTGCTCCGGAGAATAAGTCTTGCAGTTTCTCTTATGCATTTAAAATTAAGGAGGGAATGTAAGGAAAATTACATAAAGGTGGGAAAAAACAAAAACAAGGCCAGGATTGGGTTACTGGATATAGTTAACGAGGTTCTGTGCTTTTCTTGAAGGTGGTTATGGTTAATTTCAAAGGTGTATTAACCCAGATACACAGAAACAATGGACAGGGCTTGCTTAAGGTCAAGATGAACCTTTTACTAAAAGTTATATGCCTAGAGTTGATTACCCAACCTGACCTGCCCAGTTAGGGATTTATGGTCAGACCACTCTGTGAAGTTACTTTCCCTGGAAAAGGGCTAGAAGGAATCAAACCAAGTACTAATAGGTTAGTTATGGAGTCCATGTTCTCCCTTCACCACTGGACATTAAAGACGGAAATCCTTAAAGCAGCCTGCAAGGCTTTGGTCGGTAATACACCCACGCTGGCTCCCGCCCTTCTCTCTCCCCCAACTTTACCGCAGGGGATGAGGGGGGAGGGAAGCCCAGGAACCGGAGGAGTCCGGTTGCTGCCTACGTTCTGCCTCCTCCGCCACCAGAGGGCGCTGCGAGCCGCTCTCCCCTCCATGAACCCAGAATGGGGGAAGCTCAGAGGACCGGGTGCCGACTACAAAACCACTGCGGTGTCTCCCCACCTCTGGGCACAGGGCTGCGGGCGGGCACCTTCCGCTAAACTTGCGGCAGCGGGAGGAAGACACTAGAGTCGTATCCGAGGCTGAGCCGCTCAGACCTCTTTTCAAAGCGCCGACTCCGGGCGCACTGCGTCTACACTGCGGCGGAAAGAGGCGGACCTCGGGCCTCCGCCCCGCCCACCCCGGGCTTTCGGCACGCCCCCTTCCCACGTGACCAGCGCCGCCATCTCGGGGCCGGAAGCGCTCCCGAGCCCACGTGCGCGCGCTCTCGCGTGTCCAGACGGCCCCGTGAGAAGTGTCCCCAACTCCTGCCCCGCTGCGCGCGAACGCGCGCGCTCGTCCCCGGGCCCCGGTCCGAGAGTTCCGCGCCGGCCGCGCGCGCCGCCCCACCAGGTCCCCGCCCCCCACACGCCGGGCCCCGCGGGCGCCTCCGCCATGTGCTCCTTAGCGTCCGGCGCTACTGGTGGGTACTCCCGGCCCCTCAGCACCCGCGCCGCCGCCGAGGGGCTGTGGAAAGACCCTCTCCTCCCTTTGCAGCCTCCGGGGCGCGGAGCCCGGGCGGCGGGGCCTCGCTGGGGGGATGAGGGGGGTGGGGGAGGTGCCGGGGAGCGGGACGCGGGCGGTGCTCCCTCTCCCCACCCTCCTCCTCCTCCCCGTGCGCCCGAAGCGGACTGACTTTTGCGTGTGCTAGGAGGCCGGGGCGCTGTGGAGGAGGAGGAGGAGGACCTGCCAGACCTGTCCGACAGCGGGGACGAGGCCGCCTGGGAGGACGAGGACGATGCCGAGCTCCCCCACGACAAGCAGCAGACCCCCTGCCTGTTCTGTGACAGGTTCGTCCTCCCTCCCCAGCGCCGGGCTCCTCTGCCCAGGGGTGCCCTGCCCGCGAATGCTCCGGCCAGTGGTGTGGAGTAAGGGCTGGTGGAGAAGGAAGACCCCTCACCCTCCAGGTGGTCATAGAGAGAGGAGCCGAGGACCAGGAAGCCAGGTTGTCTCCTGCGGGCCTCAGTTTCCCCGCGTGTGACATGATAGGGTTTTGAACTGGGTCTGTGGTTCCCAGTTCTGGTTGTGCACCTTTGTCACTGGAAACACTTAGAAAAAACACACAGATGCTGAGCTCTGCGCCACAGCCCCTCTTAAGTCAGGACTGCAATCCAGGAATCTTATCTATTTTTTATAAAAGGCCCCAATCTCAGAGTCACTAGACTAATCTCTCGGGAGGACCCGTCCAACTTTACCATTCTGTAATTCTCAGACAAGCAGAGAGCTTCTCGGGTGCAGTGCTGGATTTGAATCATTTAAAGACCATTTGAACCCTTCTTAGGTAGGGGTCCTCCCCTATTGAAGGGGAAGGAATTGATGCCTTTTCACTTAGGTTAAAAAAAATAAAAAAGACTCCGATATCAGTAACTTGCTCAAGGTCACCCATGCTCTTTCCACGTACAGTTTAAAAAAAATATATTTTATTGATTTTTTACAGATGGGAAGAGAGAGGGATAGAAAGCTAGAAACATCAATGAGAGAGAGTCATCTATCAGCTGCCTCTTGCATGCCCCCTACTGGGGATGTGCCGGCAACCAAGGTACATGCCCTTGATGGGAATGTTGGAACCCGGGACCTTTCAGTCCGCAGGCCGATGCTCTATCCACTGAGCCAAACTGGTTTTGGCTCCACGTACAGTTTTGCCTCTTCATCTCCACAAGCATTGACTTGGGCTGCTGTCCTGGCACGTGGGCATGAAAGAGGCCTGGGTGGATCGGCCAGGGTCACTTGAGTAAACATTTTCTAATTTTCCTTAACTCTGGGGATGGTGCTGTTGGTGATTTTGTTAGCGCCTATGGATTCATCATTGTTCGCACCTGTAGCCTCGTTTGGGTACCTATTAGATGAGTGAAATTTGTGGAGCATCAGGATGGACTTCTTTGTGACAGGCTGCAAAAATGCTGCAAAAATGGCCAGTCTTGGAAAACATTGGTTGAAAGCTAACTGCTGCATGGCATTCACTGTGGGAGGCATAGAAAAGAGATAATGCAGCTTCTTTGCTGCGAATGCCTACTTTGCGTCCTTCAGTTTTGCAGGTCACATAGTCGAGACTTGGTCCTCACAAGTCTTTTAATGCAAGTACTCTGGGAACACTACAAGATCACCTTTGAAGTACAGCACTTAGGGAATATGCCAGCTGTAAAATTACATTTTGTGCTTTATTTCTGAAAGTACTTTGAGCTTTGCCAGTTCAAAGCCTCTAAAAACAGAATTGATGCTTCAGAGGAGAAAAGAGTCTTACGCAGGGAATTTTCATATCTTGAGAGAAACAGAATCTATCAAAAGGAGTTCTCTTTCTTAAAAGACTTTTGGTAAATTCAGTGCTTTTAATTGGCAAATAAACTACCTTTGACATTTAATGGGTAGTTGGTTGGTTTTAGGTGTGAAATGGAATGAGAAGTACTGATTCCCTCTGCTTTCTGACTCTACAGAAAATGTTTTCTCTTAATTGGGAATAAAACTAGAAACCAGCAGGTTATGGGGAGGGGGTGTAAAGGCAGTGT